ATACAGAGCGGCTCGTTCGCTCCTTTAATTGTTGTTGTTCTGTTCACAGGTTACAAAACACGTAATAAAGTAAGTAAAGTTATTCGGCACACTTCTGAACGAGTTTTCTCACCTGCCTCGTGTGTCCAGCAGGAAATATTGCCGCCTCGAAGTCATGAATCGCATTTCATTGAAGGTTGTTATGACAGACACTGAACTGTGATCCCCAACATCTTCGAAATGATAACTGTCACGAGAACTATCCACATCCTGTATTTGCTCAGAACAACGAAAGAATATTCCGAGCGTCTCAGAAACTTTCGATTCATTGGTCGAGAAGACGCTTGAAGTACTTTGCTGACCACAAGAACGACCGTTTAGAGAGTTCTCCCATCAAATGAGCATACTTCATCCGAAAATATAGGGAGTGCTTTCAGATTCACTGCCTAGAGCGAAATGGGAAGAATAGGGTTTGTCCGTGAAAGTACGACAGCATCATGACATGAGGTGGAGCCTTTGGGGAAACTGCCAAGATAGAACCGAACAACATCACATGAACAAGGTTGGTTAGATGGTCTTGCCTAACGGAAAAGTTCAGTAATGAAGCTGCAGAGTTAGGCGGTTTCGCCTCTTTGGAGTGGCCCCCGTGACAAGCTCCTGAAGTCTTTGAAATGCAGCTTCGGAGGGGTGTGCATGTACTTGCTATAGCCTTGGAGAAAGCAGAAAAAGAGAGCTTTCTTTTCAGACATGGAGCACGAACACTCAGGAATACGAGTGATTAATTCCCACCTTTTGCTCTTTTTAAGAAATGGGCGATGCAGGAAACGTGTTTCACGGCAGAAGAACGCGGCCGCAGATATCTCGTTTCCAGCAAAGAAAGGGATCCTGCGCCACAGCATTGATGTGATGGGTTCAGTCAGATAGCTCTACTGACTATAACCATTTCGAAAACCTCAGGGGATTGCACTTCAGCTTGTCTATCATAACAGCCTCCAATGAATGCGGTTCACGACTTCAGCGGCAACTTTTGCTGCCTGAGACGCTGTACAAGAAACAATAATGTGAAAGATCGTTCAGGAGCATGGTTCAGCCAAAAGTTGCTGAAGTAACATACACTGAGGTTTCCGGATTGAAAATTAGAGGTACCAATGTGTAAAATTAAAGTAGAGTAAAATTTTTGTAGGCTTAAAATTTAGGGTGTCCACATACTTTTGTTGTGCGTAGGGCACACCATCGCCGAAATTTCCCCAATAGGGACCGCTTTATGGGAGATGGTGGTCGTAAGTAAGGAGTCAGTCAGCAGTCAGCGAAAAAGTGCCAGTATTGCTGATTTGTGGGGAACGGAACCGGCGCCGTCAACAAATCGAATACGTGAAGAACATCGCTTACTTGTCCTAAATACAACTAACTATTCAGTGAACTGCGGAATTCAAATGTATAGGTTCGGCGAAAAAGTCGTTCCAACCACCCGTGCTGCGGAGAGAAGGTATGCTCCTCGGCACAAAATCCCGCCTTTCGATCCTCAGCTATTCCCCAATGATACATGTTTCTAAAACCGCTCATTGTCATTCTAATACCTTTTGAAAACCCTCATCTACAGTCTTGGGAAAAAATTGGAACTAGCATTCTCATCTGTTCTAGACGATCTAATCTCTCTCTTATGCACCAGTATTAGCGGTCAGACAGATCTAAGAATATAATGTTACAATGCAAATAATATTGAAATTTAGGTAAGCGGAGAGAGTGTAGTGGCGCCACTTACCACAAGCGTGGTCTGGGGTTCAAAGCCCGGATCGGCTCCCGCCTGAACCAACCGAGTTTTTCGTGCCTGCGGGGAAAGCTAATTAGTAGTAGACTCGTCTGAAAAGTAAAAAAGTCGACTCCTACACCGGCTGCCCTCACTCCCGCAAGTCCTTCCTCCCCCTTCCTCAAAGTGCCTCATCGCCGTAATCTTTCGAAATTCTGTCCCTGCAACGTATTCAATTAACCATCTCTCTCAATTAACCATCTCTCCACACGATGAGTGCAAAGAGACCGCAAAGGCTTCTCCATGGGTGATCGATTACCCACAAATCATTCAGAATCATTTTATAAGTCGTCGTCTCAATTCCTGCACACTTTTCGTTTAGTATATTCATTTTTGCTTGAGCATATGCCTTCCGGTCACAACTCAGGCACGCCCCCACTTTTTCAAGCGGTGTTTTCTGGTTGCCGCCTTTTCGTTCAGTATGTTCTTCCCTTAAAATCACCCAGCACTAATCAAGAAAGCCATTCAAATTTGCAACTCAAACGCTTCGTAATAGAGGGCAGGTCTTTAATTCTCCTTTAGACGCGGAATGTGTCTTTAAGTTCTCCTGTGTCCGGAATGTTACCTTGAGAAACCGAATAAGGCATAATCCCTCCCGCTTCACTCCGTTCTCTAGAGTTCAACGCGCAAACCCTGTTAAAGGAAGTTAGTCGCTCGGAACTTGCCTACATTTCTTCCTTAGTTTACTTCTGCGTGTTTTTTTTGTTTACTCTTATTCATATAATGATCCATATCAGATAAGAGGTGCTTGAAAAAAACTGGAAGATCAAAATATGCAAAAAAAGAAAGCAAAACGTCGACTCGCGTGTGTTGTCGCGTGCGACTTCGCGATGCGGCCGGTAGGGTCTTATACGGTCTACGGACAAGTTGAACTTGTTCCCTTGAACACGTCGATAGGTTTTCCTCTGCACTCCTTTACTTTGTGGTCATTGTTACCTCAGACAATCCACTTTTTCACAAATGATAACTCGGCTCACGCCCCCCGAAGTGCCCTTCATTTGAAAAAGCCCCTATCCTGACTCGCATATGTTTCTTGCACATTCTGATGCTTTGGCAGGCGCTATCCTCTCTCTGTCTGCGTCGCAACAGGACTATGCATAAAAGTTCAGCATGTTACGTAATCGCGTTATACCTACCCCAGAAAACAGTGTACCATTAAAATTTGTACTGCTTCGACTTTCTAAGAACTTAAGGTGGAAAATGTGAATTTTCCTCTTCCTTGTCTATACGTTCGCTGGACACTTTCCGGGAAAACAATGTGGGTAAAACTAAACACCTTTTGTCAGGTGGGGGGAGGTGTTTCATTGTGCCATACCGTGTCTCCAGTAGGCTAGTATGTACATTAGTAGGCACTCTGGTACCTTGAGTAGTAGGCAGTTATCGGTGGTACCTTGAGCAGTAGGCCTCTATCGGTGGTATCTTGAGGTGGGTAAGCGAACAGCACGCCCTGCATGCTCTGTGAAAGGAATAAGTGGACCGAGCCTGCTCTGATAACATACCGAGGGCATTTGAATAATCTGGTGCTTCTCGAAAAAAGTCTCGGAAATTAATCTCATAATGTTGTGCGCTATCTTTCAACCAGTTCTACGTTCTCTTATCATTAAGCGTTACAAGAAGTCTTGTAAGCAGAAGCTTCACAGTTCGCTTTTCAAACCATTGCGCATCCACGGCGTACCCTCTTTGCTCTATTTTCCCACCTAGCTGCTCTTTGTACTCTAGCTAGTTTCTGTCTCTACATGAGAAGTTTTCAACCTGACATCAATGTATTGGTCATGGTTTTCTATCAATAAAACACAGCTATGAGCTACAGATCACTTTCAATACATTTTTATTCAGAACGAATGCCCAATCAATTGTATACTTCACATTCTCTTCAGACGTGTCTTTTGAAGAAGGAATAACGACCGCGGTGGACACGGACAATATTCAGCATCATGGCGCAGGTATTCAGACAAGCTCAGGCTGCCCAGGACTCCGGGTCACTGGCTACAGCCAGGTTTTCCTGACGGGGGCGCCACAGACCGGAGGCCCATCGCTCCCAGGCAGACCAGGTGCACCAGGTATTCCAGTAATTCCTGGGGCTCCTGCCATTCCTGGCTCTCCCGATGGACCTTGAGCACCTTTCTGTGAAGTTCCTGGTTGTCCTGGTGGGCCAGGTTCCCCAGGTTCTCCAGGTTCACCACTGGCTCCTGCATCTCCAGGAGGTCCTGGTGGCCCAGGCTGTCCATTGACCGCGTAAGGCAAGGCTGGAACACCAGGTAATCCAGGAGGGCCCTGTAATCCTGGGGGTCCATCGGGTCCTGGAGGGCCTCGCACTCCTGGCCTGGACATCTGTCACAGCCCCATTTGGATAGTGCGCCGTCTTCGTAGGCGCACCGTTCGAATTATCCGAGTCCTGGAGGGACCCAGCTGCCGCGCAGGGTACTGAAATGCGAAAGATTCACAAAGGACAAGACTTTTGAAATTCACATGACGAACAATGTCATCTGAGCGTTGGTACCTGACTGACCAAATATGCAATAATCGCTTACCTCACGCATTCAGGTGGCCAGGCGGCTCAGGTGGACGCCGGTGGGCATTGTGGCGCAAGATCACATTGACACCAATTCAGGCGCAGACCTGGGTTACGCTAAAGACAATCATCCGTGACTTTTGACTGTCTCTAAATACTTAATCGACTTCCTGTGAACACCCGTAAAAAATCACAATATACGTTAACAGGTGTTGTTCCTATCGTGATCATCGATGCACGGGAGCCCTCAGAAAGACTCGGTCATATTTATTTTTTCCGCAGGCCAGTACTGCACTTATGCAACATAATTATTTGCGCAAAAGGATTATCTTTGGAGGAATCGGCCTCTCGTCCCCTCTTCATCTTCCATGTCTAGTGTCGCTGAAATGGAGTGGATAGACCAGGCTTAGTCCTATGACATCCAGCAATATATCAGCCGTCGAAAGGCGTCTTATTGTCCAGTTTCTCACTTCTGGAAATTCACGGCGCTGTCTCATAGATACAAAGAATGGTCAAGGATAATTCTATGCTGTGAATGATGGATCCTTTTCCCAGTTCTCGGATCGTAATGCAGATTGCGTTCACATTAGAGTATGCGTTATGGAATTCGCAGTATTAAATGGGAGCGGATCGGTTGACATCCGATGGCTGGTCGTACAAGGAGTGGTGAGCTCTGGGTTCAGGCGACTGAACCTTTTTTGACAATTTCGTGGATTCTCCCCAACCCTTCTGAAGCACATATCGCCTGATTGGTGATTTCATTGTTGCAAGATGCAAGCCAACTCGCCTTCTCTACTTTCCCAAATCGGTAGAGGGACTGTGGAATTTTGGCAAGAACGATTCGGACGAGAACGCTTCAAGTTGAAAGGAGTTATTGACAGCGGACACCCGACAAACGTCGCAGCGTTTTCTAACCATTTCCGCGACAAAATATTATCAACCCAATGGTGGTCATGAAAGTAAGCCTAGCAAGACAGGTTTCGTAGCCCTTGAGGCAGACGCCGCCGTCGGCGCCCTTCCAACAACATGTGCCATACAGCGCCCTGTCAGACATACCACTCGGACTAACGTCCCGCTCAACCACAAATGTCCGACCTACGCGCGGGCGTAGTCGCTCATGTGCCCAAAGCTACAATATGAACAACGAGGTCAATGTGACATGAATCACTGTGGTGCTGCGCATGAATGCTGTGAGCACGATACATACGCACTATCTCCAACGTGGCGCGCTGTTGGCACTATGCCAGTATGAGAAACTCGTCCGAAGATTGCCATCGACGTCGTGCAAACACGGGCTTGGAAGCACACTATAAAGACGCCCCTTCTACCATTTAAGACCGGTGTCGAGCAAATCCATCAGGCCTTTTCATCGGCTATTGAAGAAGTAATTGTAGAAAGCCTTTACTATTCAAAGGAACCAATGCTGCTTTGCAAACTATACAAGCAATAATGTGATGGAGGGAGATTCATTCTGTGGCGCTGCATCTAAGCTGTATTGAGGATTCATTTAGGTTTCATGCAATCTGCTAAGAACACGGCAGATGCGGGCAGAAAGCGGCGAAGAGTTCATCTGAAATTTCGCGCGGCGATCGGTCTGGCTATCGACGATAGAAATACGAGGAAAATATAGTGAGTCTGAATGGCCTTCAAATAATAAGTCAGGGTGATTGAAAGGAAGGAAGAGCTGACGTCGTTGGCGCTGACATTCTATCGGAACTCAGGAGATGGAGCTGCTGCAGAAAGAAGAGCCTATTTTGCGGGCTCTCGACGTTTTTCAGACACTAACAGGTCGCTTCTCATGTCTGCGCGAGGATTATGTTGAGCCTTTTCTGGCATGTGTTTCTAGATGTACAAAGTGAGTGATTTCTTGCATACCGGAAGCATGAAACCGTTTAAGAAACCATGAGGCTCGGAAGTTCGCCCCGACCACAGGAATCCTACGCCCGGGGGCGTAATGGTAACCGGGGATTTGTTTGGAACAAGATAAACAATTGACTTGTACATCGGCTGGCCTCCGCACGTCATAGGCCACATCACATTCGATAAGCCACTACGATTCTGAATGGAAGAAGAATGCGTGGCGCAACCCAAAGAGAGTTATCAAACAGCGATGACTTTATCCTTTATCCTAATCTTGATAAACGCTTACTACGCTAGAGTTATCGGCTTGGATCATGTAGCGCATTGGGACTCTCGCAATCGTATACAGGGTGACATACAAGCTTATGACTTGAAGTTCCCTAACGGTATGGAAAGAAGCTAAATGTTTTTCATAGACACCTGGTCACGGTAATGCATCATGTCCCTTCTGCTCAATGCTCTTCTTACCTCTTTTCCCTCCTCAGAAGTGGATTTTCTCTTGGTTTCGATGGAGGGGTGTGGCTGACCTGCACGTTCATCAGCTCGATCCATGACGAATCTGTTTCAACCTGCAATTGATTCAGACTTCTGTTGGTGTAATACAGTTGACGTTGCAGTCGAATTCGCAAACCTTGAAGCTCCCAACGGCTTTCAAACACCTCGTCCTTCTACGCAACCCATCTCAGTTAAGGCGGGAAGAAAAGATGGATCCAATTAGGATAATGGCGCCGCGCCAGAGAAACCGACATGATGAACGATGTTTCGCGCATGTCCGAGACACCGGCAGACTTCACTCGACAAGTCTGCTCGAAAACTTCTCTTAAACACAGTCTGGAATCAGTGGGCACGATCTAATGTCGGGGCAAAGGATTCAGGCAGACAGGACTCGAAAAATAAAAAAAAGGTTGTAGAAAAGCGAAATATTGTCCTCATGGGGGTGCGAACCATCAAACGTTATGGTATTCCTAGAGCCGCACAGCGAAAATAAACCTCACTCTACTGGTCCACGCATGCGGCACTACAACATGCAAAAAAACCATTTTTAAAGTGCACACCACGCCCTGAACGACCTCACTTCTAAGACACTTTGAGCCAAAAATGTAGGGAGATGGGAGCTGGATAGTACTATGCGCTGTCAGCTGTGAACCTGACTGCATGTAGAACTGATGGAGATAAGGACGAATAAGTCTAGGACGAGAATGGGCGGATCAGTTGAGTGTCCGTGACTGTGAACCTCCGTGCCTCGGACGGCTTTATATTCGCTGTCCCGCCCACTCGACTCGTATTCGTCAACGCAAAAAACTCATTTCATTCAAACGAACAAAATCGCCAATCTCACCCCAATTCCATTACGACGAAACCGCTTCAAGCAGAAGAAAAGAAAACATGACATATGGCAAAAAAACTGACAGGTTTTTTCATTGAATAGCTTTCGATAGGCAATTCTTCCTCTATGTACGCTTGACGAAACACGGGGCTTTCCGGTCGTTTCTTTCCAAACTTGTTTGTAAATGATAGAGGAAAACTGGCTCCAACCAATAATACAATTTCATGTTAGCTGAATGGCACCTACGATTTAATCTTGCAGAAAGCTGTGATGTCACACTCAACTGAACACAGAAGTAAGTATTATAGTTTGAGCCATCGATGCAAGGCACAGGGCGCTGTGATTTCTTTCAGAGACAGGGTGCAGCATCGTTGTGTGAAACACTTGGAGGGGGGGGGGTCGTACTTCTCGGATGAGGAGGGGGGGGTCGTATTTGGTCGTTGTTGGGAGGGGGGTCGTATGTGGCTTTGAGAGAAATTTGCCGCGTTGGGGAAAAATTTTTCCCGGTTGTTGACTTTTTCGTGATTTTCCCTGTTTCATGTGTACTATATAGCCACCCCTCTACCCTCGCTCGACGGAAAATTTGTGGGTGAAAATGGGTGAAAAGCTGGAAAATGTGTAGGTAGGTGGGTGTTGGGGAAGGGGGGGGTCGTCCGAGACCCTCTTCTAGGTGGAGAGGGGTCGTACCAGGATCGTTTTCCGGAGGGGGGGGGTATGAGTTGAGACTAAGGGAGACTTATCAGACGGGTAGCACAGTCACGAAACTCTATGAACTGCGAAGTATCCAACAATCACGAAAGGTTTTTGTTACTTGGTCGCTTGGCTACTCGTCACTTTAACTTCCAAATCCCTTCACGATATGACTGAGATTAGGACCATGATGGCTTGCAGCTCATCCCATTCATTTGATCGACTTCAAGGGATATATTGGATTTCTAAGGATAGACTGGAAAAAAACCCTTTTTCTTTAATTAATAAAAAAGTGACCGGCAGTAAGGCTAATGAATCTACTAATTTGTCTGGCGGTCAAAACTTTTCCAAGAAAGAAGTAGTGGCTGGAGTGTCTCCTCTTCTTCCAAGCCGTCTGAACGTCCGGAGGAGCTGAACGCTCACTTTCATCAATCCTAGTCTAGAAATAGTCGAGTAGATCTACGGACCAAACAATCCCAGAGCAACCCCGAAGGGCCAAACAGCATTCCACAGATGGTTCATGACGTTGCTAGGGTGAGCTTCAGCTACAGACAGGTTGAACATTGGAACAGTTCCAGGGCTAACTGAAAAAGCTGATGGTGTGACTGATTCGAGGGCGAGAACGAAGCTGCCTTCGCACCGATGAAGCTAGGCTCCTAACTTTTCTTCGCGAAGGTATTCACTCGTGTATTTGGTATCAAACCTACACTTGAGCATGACAGACTGAGTTTGTCTTACAATTAGAGAGCAGGCTTTATAGAAATAAAGTCTCATTCTGAAAGGAGCATTTGTATGAAATGGTATGCGTGAATGCGCAGATATGTCCATTTTTAAGGAGCATTGACGAACTTTTCGGGTCTGTTCGCCGCACCTTAAAAATTCCACTCGACAATATTGAGAAACGAGGGAATCTATCCAACCATAATGAGACCGCTAAGCCTC